AACAGTCTCAGAACACTATAGTGCAACAGGTGATCACAGGTAGCTAGCTGCACAACCAAACTCACTCAAAGAAATGTTTTGATCTTATTCAGGAGATTAAGTTGCAACTACTTAAGCCATTGCCAGGTAGTACCTGGCAATGGTTGAAGTAGTTGCAGCTTGCATGTTGCAGCTTTGTTGTTTGACCAAATCCACGTACATGACTATACAATGTGACTGGACCTGATAACACAAGCATTCATGAGTTGTAGAGCTTTAACCCTATTCTGACTGGGGGTGATACATTACTAGATACTTTTTTGAAACACAAAAAATCATTAAAACAAAAAATACATAAGAAATAAAAACAATAGAATACATACACAATTAATGAAACAATAAAATACAAAAGAATTGATTTGAAATTTGAAAAATAATATCGACTATGCTAATCAGAATTTTTTTCAAGAGATTGACCTCCATAACTAGTTATGTAAACAGAATATAAAAAAATATGTAAAAATAGGCATCAAATTGGCACATATTATAATAAAGTAATAAATGAGTGATTTATCTTGAGAAAAAAAATTGTGCAGTAGTATTCTTTATATGCGTGTCAATATCTGTGCAAAAATTTCTAATTGATTCATTGCTTCCATTGCTGAGATTTTTTTTTTTTTTTTTGTGGCGGGAGGCCCGGGGGGGGGGGGATGCTCTCAGAAAGACCAGTCAGAATAGGGTTAAGTGGTCTAGAAGAATTTCCATTTTGGGTTAATAAAATTTGGAGTGGACTATTTGGCTATTATTATTATTATTATTATTATTATTATGACACATTGTAAGCACCAGGGCTTGGAATCCCAAGGTACGGGATTCACATCCCTGATTTACCAGACTTATCCATGTGACATATATGGTTACAAGTAATACAAAATTCCTGGAATATGTAAGCACATTCCGGGCAGCGAGGCTAAAGCATCCATGTGGCAAAGAATAGGTACCTTTATATTGGGCACAATCATTCATGAATCACAATGATTATAGTCCTGCGTTGGCCAAAGGATTGACCAAAGGATTACAATGTGTCTGCAAAAGCCATTGCAAAAAATTACTTCTCTTGACGGCCCTTATATTGCATGAATGAACCTGTTGCAGGTATAGTAGCAGGTCCTTTTGGGAATGGGGCATGAAATTAACCTGTTTGATACAATTTGATTCTGAAATAAAGCATATTCTATAGGCTCTAGCCTATCTTATCTCAAAGGATTCAACAAGATAAATTTTAATCTATTCTATTAGATTGAATAAGAAAACACTTTCAGACCCATGGCATGTGAATTTTAGGCTTCTTACCAAAGTAACGGTTTTCATTAAAAAAAATACAGTCATGTTTTATCTCCTTGAGTCTTGTTCACTCCATACCCCCCAAATTAATAATCTTTAAAAATAATACATTCTCTTTAAATAGGGAAAAAGAAAATATATATAGTATCAGCAAGAAGATTTTCAAAAAGTAATACTGGTGATGAACTGAATGTGATAAGATGAAAATTGCAAGTAAGACTGATGTCATACTATTTTTTTTCTTTTTCTAACTGCATTACAAGAATGATTGGAAGCTATCACTTGCATGCAGACAAATATTTCAGCAGAATAAGGTCTCTATTATTATCTTTCTACATTACTTGATATTGTGTGTAAAATTCCTTTTCAAAATTTGCTACCAACATATTTTCTATATATTTCTTCAATAGATTTATTTATGTAAGATGAATATAAAGAGCAATAACGAACATCAATTATTTGCAATATACTTGATATAACATGCTACATATTAACTCAAATAATGACAAGGAACAGATTTATATAAATGAATAAATAAATAAATCACAACTGCACAACAGCACACCTTGTAATTGATAATAATGACAGAGAAAGACAGGCACCAATTACACTGAATACATTGAAAGTTTACAATAGGCACAAACATGAACCTCCTGTTGCATAAATCTTTCCAACTTTTACATATTATATATCTACACATTTCAATCATTATATCCAGTGTACGTTACTGATTACTGATTGAAATATTAATGATATACGCAATAGGTTTGACAAACTGCCCTTAACATGAATGGTATGTTTGCTTACAAGGATTCATTTCAAGTCAAAGAAAATTCATGGCAACTTTTATATTATTTGACCCTGCCCTTAGTCTGATGCACTGCTCATTCCATGGCTGCAAAATCATAACTACCGGTATGGTATCGTTTTAAAGAAAAATATACACACTTTCTAATAATAATAATCAAAGCCTTGTTTATGCAAATATAAGAGAGCTATATTTGACCCAACTTGAGATTCTAAACTATTTTTGAGGGGTTTAGAATTACCAAAAAATGTCATTTCTTGAGAACTATTTGTTCATAACAGTTACGGTATCCAGATTCCTGAAACAATTGGGACAATGTCACCAAAACTTAAATCAATTTCATAATGCTAGTAGGCCTTCTTTAGATATAATTTATACTAGAAGTTATTAATATCATATTTTTTTTCTTTTAATACAAATAAATGCTAGCCCCCCCAAAGTACATCTCATCACTTGAATTTCAGGATAACTCATTTGCAGCAAATTTACCATTCACCTATAATGTAAAGGCAATCTGTACAACATGCAACATTTAAACAGAAAGAGTAATGTCAACACAATTCCACACAGATACAGTTGATTAAAAAAGTTCTATATGAACAAAATTCACAGATAACCCATTTGAAAACTGAGAAAAATTGAATTAGAACAGACGGGTGTCGACATTTAAGACACAAGGAATACATTGTGTGAAACAAATTGTATCGTGTGAGACACACTTGGAAATCTAATTCAAGGTGCAATACTACGTGGAAAAGTTTACACTTTTTCAGTGCCATCTTTAATTACCTATCAATGCAATAGAAATACATAATGAAAGAAATAACAAGAGATTTTGTTGTTCTAAATTTCTAGTTTTGTTGTAGTTTTAATTAATATTTTCTTTACAGAACAGGTATGCTATGTGGTATATATCTTGTTTACAGATGGAAGAAAATGATAAGAACTGAGCGGTGGGGGATATTCTGTTTATAGAACAACACTACTTCATTCAATAGCACACACTACTCCATTTTCTTTCATCTATTTTCAAAGTGTGGGTAGCTTAATAGAATGAGAGAAAAGGTCTAAGATCTGCAATTATATTTCCATTAAATTAGCTACAACAAACTAGAAGTTTCCCAGAGTATAGAACAGTAATCCAATTTAGTTTACCGTAAGCTTTCATTTGAAATACCCAGGTCAATAAATGTAAATTCAAGTTCACACAGAGACAATGAACCTTGTGTTAGGTGATACTGAACGCATAATAGAGGCACATTGACTGTTGCAGCAGTTTTTGCACTTGTGTTAGTGAAGACTTGTGAAGCTCAAGGCATGTTAATTTCCCTGAAGTATGTGTTTAAAAGCAAAGTGAAGCTCTTTACAAGACTGCATCTTAAACAAGTGATTGATGTCTATTTGGATGTTATTAGAATCAAGCACACACTCATAAAAACTAGAGAGCTCATTTTTTTTTTTTTTTGTTGTTGTTGTTAACAAGCTATGTTTTGCATGTGAAGGTAGATTTGATTTTTGTTCATACTCCACCTCTAACCTTTCTCAGACCCCGGGTCTGTGGACTTAGCTTGCTCGTAGCGGTCTGCCAGGTTCTTCCATTGCTGGCGATTCTGCTCAACCCCATCCTGCAGCGGCCTCAGGGCCGGCTCAAATTCAGCAAAGTTCTACAAGATGAGGTTGGTTGGTTTGAGAGAGGGCAGCAAACAGACGGTAGCAACAGAGAGTAACAACAGAGAGTTTGATCTAGAGACAGGAAAGGTCACCCAATGTCCTCTATCTCACAACACACCACTCACCATTTCAATAGATTTTGTAATCATTGAAATCACAAATAAACATAAAATAATGCACCTAAATATAAATACCCCTAAAAGAGAAAAAACAACATGTGTTATGTAGAATACTACAAGACGGATGCATCTGTGGATAGACCTGAATATTGACTATATAGTCCTTTCTATCAGGCAATGTCAGGTTTATATTTCTATTGTAAAACATGCACCTCATCAAAGTTGGTAATCTAGATAACACAAGATGGTGGTATATGATTTTTTTAGATTTTTGAGTAACAAGAGGCTGAAGAAATCCTTAATTTCTATTCTGCATAAAACTCTTGAGGAAAGATTCATAAATACCTACCACTTTAGTCCTCATTTAATTAATTTCTGTGAGGAATTTTCAAAGAAATAATTTGCCAGCATCAGAGCCAAATGAAGAGGTCATGAGATAAGCAAAAGCAATAGGATAAATTAGCAAGGCATGCACTGAATGAAACTCAATCTGTTTGCAAAAAAAATTAAAAACAACAAAGCCAAAACCATTGGAAATCCTCTATTAGATGATTTTTAAAACAGGGCAGATAATGAACTCAAATGGAAACAGCAACAGAACCCTGCACAGCAAACTTATTATTCAGACACTATACACACTTTGTATGAGTTAGAAACAACAAAAACATAAAACAATAGACAAAAATGGGAAGGATAAAAATGCAACAAAACTAAAACTTCAGAACATGGATAGATATGTAAATGACTTGAACATGTGACTTCAAATTTTGTTGATTATGTTTTCCATGGCTGTATAATTATAATGATCATTTTCAGTAAGGATAACTGCTGTCAAATGTGCAACAGAGTTTATTTTCTTTGTTACTTGTCCAGATATCATTTAATTTTCAGAATATCAAATTAAGTTGTTATAAATAATTTGTCTAACATGAAGCACAGTTACAGTCATATTTTCCAATATAGGTCAACATACAAACAAAAGAAAATGAACAAATAAAGTGGATGTCAACAAATAAAGTGGATAATTTAAATGAAGATAAAAACAAGACAAATATAAAGTGAGCTTCTCTTGTGCTAACCATTTGGCTCTTTCCCTTCAGACAATGCTTGCCAGTTATCACGGTTGAGCTGGGTTCCCGATTCGAGCGGTTTTAGGTCTGGCCACAGCTCAGCGAACATCTGGGATTTTTAGGGTTTAAGTAGAGGGAGACAGTGAATTGGAAACAAATAAAAAGAGAATAGAAGAAAAAGGAATGTATAGGTAGATATAGAAGTGGATTGGGGTAGGAATTGAACAAAGCGGGCCACAAGGGAAAACAAAGGGCAAATAAGAATAACCATGATTAATGCAGGTACAGTACTGTACATTGTTGGAATATAAGGGGATCATGGTAAGAACACAGTGGGGAAGGGGGAGGGAGGAAGGGAGGGGTGGAAGGCCAAGGGAGGTCTAAGGAAGTTTCCATGCACTGTGTTTGACCGATCTCTGGAATATGAGAACATTCAATTGCCACTATACCATGAAGCTAAACTCATATGACATTTCAGGTCACTGCACTTATGGATCAGATGTGGCAATGAACATTTACTTGGTTTCTCTGTATTAAAGCCAGTTGTGGTACCTTCTTGTCTTTAAAGATGCATCATAGATGTTTTAATCATACAGCTCCTCAATAAAGTAAATACAAATGTATCATCTTTTCCTACTTAAGTTGAACTTCTAATTGTAATACTTAAAAAACAATTACCAAACATGATACACATAGTTCTACAATTCAATTAATAAATATGGAAATTTCGAAATTTAGTCTAACTAGAAATGTGTTTTGGAATGTGATACATTGTTGTGCATAGAAGCATATGTCATAGTTAATATATATTTTGTTTACATCATCTGTTTTCACAGATATATGAAAGCCAGCAATTAACACATATTAGCTACATGCAGAGGATATATACGGGCCCAAGACATCACACGTAGACTTGGGAGAGCTAGACGATGGTTGGGGTTGGTGAAAGCTGGAAACAATCATGTTACTACCGGAGACATGTACAACTACCAGGTCAAATGACAAAGTGCAATCTTCTTATAACATAATACTCTGATGATCATTAATATCAGTAGGTATATATTTGATTTAGAGCTTCCTTTGATTAAACAATATTTGTTTCATAATAATAATATTCTGCTGTTATATAGCACCCAATACATCAACAATGTTTCTAAGTGCTTTACATATATATTATTATAAAACAGCACAATATGTTTTAAAAACTTCAATCTCTCTGTATCTCTAATAAATGCTATTAAACATGAAGAAATGGTCCTCAAACAAAAAAATGAAAAATGAAATTGTTAAATGAGTGTAATTAAAACATAACAAGATATGCAATGTCAAAATTATGTTCAAATTAAATCCATTCAATTTGATACTATCATTATTCTATTGAGTAAATAATATGGACTGCATGAAAATCATATCAAGCAAAAGTTGAAGTGGAATGTATAAATTATGATATTAGAGTCAAGGCTTCCTATTATTAAAAAATAAAATGTATTTGAAAGAGTTATTATAACTTACATGAGTATGTGAGTCTTTATCAAGAATATTATAAGTCATTATCATCTTCAAATATGCTCCATTTTTTCATTTTTATTATTGTATACTGGAACTTAAAGTCAATAAAAGAGAACAGGAAAATATACTATTATAAGTATCAATTTGTAGAACAGGGTTGTAATCTATCAGCTTTTGACCTAAAAAGGATTAATATCACTCTTGCAGTTTTTAAAATAACTCTTATTCCAGTGTTTTTTAATAGGTTGTTAAATTGGAAAGGTTCAAATTCTAAGAAATCTCCTTTCAAGTTCAGATTTCCTTTTGCGATTAATTTCATTGACTAGACATGTGAGAAAAGGAATTTCTCATATCTACAGCTCCTACAGTCACTCTGAAGCATGCTGGCATATCTGCTTCGGTTTAATACTGCTAATACAGCTAGCAAATGTAGTGCATGCATGTGCAACTTGTGATCATTTGGTTTTCAGCATGTACATATTTCATACTCTCATGCATCTGATGTCAATATTCAATGATAATGAGAAGCACAAATGCTGGCTCTGATGGGCACCGACATCAATTTGCTGATAAAATTGTAAAGCATCACCATATTGTTTACCCCCTCTATGTTTCTTCTCTTTTATTTTCCCCCTTCTCCTTTCTATTGGGATAGGGGATTATTTAATTTAAAGTATCGTATGTATGGAAAATTCTGAGAGGGTTTATCTGAAAGTGATCAGAAGGACAAAATGGCAAAATTTTATCTAAAAATATTATCCCACGGTTGTCATTAAAGTTTTTGTCAAGGGTTTTGTCAAACCATCTTAAAAAGGTAATGAGATGTATGTAAAGCACACTTTTCATTTCCCCAACATTTATTCAAAGATGCAATGCTAAAAAAAAATATATGATTCCACAAATTTTATTTCGATTTGAATTTTGTTAAATCATCAACAGAAATAAGTAGAACATAATAAAAAGTAGTTAATTGATGCAAAAGTCTCCTTTTATGGTTATCCATTTTGTTTGCTTTTGAATCTGGCAATCTATGTGGCTTCTTCTATCCCCATCTGAAAGTTTCTAGCTATAATTTATCAGTTTTAATACATGAATGAAAGATGATAAAATGCTTTTTTTAAATAAATTAAATGTCCTGCAAAAGAAAAGGTATTGATTAAAAAATTCAAGACATGATAAAAACATGGTAAATGGATAAAAATAGGTTAGTGACCTAATCAAGAATTAATCATGAGTAGTATTACCCCTAATTTCTAATACTTAGGATTGGGGATTGAATGCTAAAAAAATTTACTAGGTAAAGATGTATAAAGATAATAAAAAGCAAATTACAACTCCTCAAATGATGGGTTTGAAAACTTATGGTATTGGTAATTGTATACTAGTATTAAATTTTGTAAAAATATAGTGAATGGTTCCATAATAATTTCCCATTAGTTTTCCTTTATTGCATGTAGATAAACACAGTTAACATTTCTTTCATCACTTTTTAATGTTAAGAATACTATTTTGGGGGCTCATAGTCCTGACTTAACAAGGCCAGATTTTCAAAAGTCAAATAAACAAAATACATAAATGACCCACCAATCTCTATTTTCCTTTAAGAATATGCCATCAAAAAGAAAGAAGATTTTAAAAACTTGATAAATACCATGAATAAACCTCATATGAATTCATATTTTGGCTAATAAATGTACTTGAGGAAAATGCATGTAAATAAATCTACAATCACAATTGGAAGAAAAGGTTAAATAATATTAATGTAATTTAGAATACAATTTTGCTTTGATCTTTTGAAATGACAAATATATCAAGAAATGGTGATAATTCTTCTCTGCTATTGAATGAACAAGATCTGAAGGGTAAGCTTATATTTTCTTTATATCAAGAAATGGTGATAATTCTTCTCTGCTATTGAATAAACAAGATCTGAAGGGTAAGCTTATATTTTCTTTATTTGTGTATTTTGTGATAATTCAGCAGTTATGGAAACTAGGTTAAGTATATGCATGTGAGACCTAAACCCTGTTATATAACTATTTTTAATAATTGCAGTGAGGAGTACTATGAAATGAATTAGGGATGATTAAGACTTTGATGAAGAGGAAAACAAAAATTGTTTCTATTTTGAGGCCAGATTGTCACCATCTATAAAGAAAGGCAAGGAGTGATGTAATCATCCTTTCTGGGAGCAATTGAGTACAACATCAAAGTGGATAATTTAAATGAAGATAAAAACAAGACAAATATTAAGTGAGCTTTTTTTTGTTCTTCTAGAATTATGTTCCAGAGAGAAAAAAATAATGATATTTTGATGATACAAATTTCTTGTTATATCCTTTCCAAATTCTTAAAATCAGCTTTAGTTTCTATTTTCAATGATCTTGTGAATTTCTTTTGATTCTTTTCATGGATTTTAAAAGTCTATTATTTTGTGAAATAATTTGGTTAGCTCCCCTATTACCATCTGTCTGTACAATGCAGATTACACCCAGATGCATTTTGTCTCATTAAATTATATTGTAGATGATAATATCTTAGTCCTATCTCTTTGACATTAATGGACCATCCATCTCACCTTGTAGACAGGCATACAGATGCCATCGATGAAACCCACTTGCATCTTAGGGAGTTCATCCTTCTTCTTGCGGTCCATCATCGCCTTTTGGAGAGATAAAAGATCAGAAATTTAAAGAATGAGTGTAGTAATTGGGTAAAGAAATACTACATCATTCTTCAAAAGAACTATTCACATTTAAGGGGTAGATGTATAGATAGATCTCAAAGAATGCATATGTAATTAAGATTAGTAAATGCTAAATAAACATAACTTATTTTACAATACAATTGACTTTAACTCATTTGATTAATTTTTGATGAGTAGATGGGATATTAATGACAGTTTCAAACACCTTTTAATCATATAAATACTAAAAAAGTTCATATGACAATGTCCAATTAATACATTTAGGCGTCATCTTTGTTAATTACCATTGGTTCTTCTTTGAGCTTTTCTCTCTCCAAATCGCCTTGCTGAAAGAACTCACTGAAGACCAACTCAGCCACTTTCTGCTGGACTAGCCATGGCTTGGCAATAGCTGACACATCACAGGCTGTCATCAGCATACCCCTTCATGGAAGAGAGGAACAAAAATAAGACTTTATGAGGCCTGCAGTAGAAAAGGTGAAACGATTGACTGATTTGCCTCTCATACGGGTAAACATATATTCTATTTAAAGGAATTACAAAGTTTTGGTAAGGGGTCATGAATTTGGTTCAAATGAACATATTAGAAGTCTATGCAATTTTACAATATTCAATGATCGTTGTCGCGGTTGAAATCGAGTCTATATTAATGAAATTGTGAATAATAAACTCTTTATGTTATATAGCGCCCTCTCAAGACTGATATTACTTTAGCTCTAAAACAATGTTTCTTCACTACAATCAACCGATTTGCTATTCCCGTTTGGAAATTATATATTAGAACTGCACATTCTTAGATTTTCATGATCGCAACTACCATGGAATGGCCTGAGGCGCTATTCAAAATATTTTATATTTACCGGAAGCACCGTTAAATTTTTTATTATTCAATTTCTCTAAAGCAGAAGTGTTTTAGGGGCTAAATTTGCTACTGCTTATAATACATCCACAGGGGCGTCCAAATATATCTATATTTTAAAGAACTACTATCAATCCAATTTTCAAAATTTCCCGAAACTTTGCATGACCTTTAATAATGATTTAAGGTTTTAAAAACAGAAAATTCAAATTACTGGCATCTAGTCCGAATTCACTCTAATTAATCAATTTACTATAAATACAATATACAGTGTATATATATATATATAATTGCAACCTTCTTTTTTAAATGTCTGCAAAATTTAACAAAATTTCAAGAATATCTTCAGTTTTAATTGATACAAAGACATGGACGAGTACTCAACAATTTATGCAAGTTCAAAGCTACACAATTTTTTTTGCATTAATTAAAGCAAAAATTTGCCTCATTAATATTTGATATTGTGATAATCATAAACAAAAATCATAAACCTGTGCCGATATATAGAAAAGTCAATATTGTGTCATGAAAACATGAATGGATGAATATATCCATTTTTCTTTCCAAAATCTTATTTCAATCTTTTCTCTTTATGCTCCATAAGCTTCTGCTTCAAAATGATTTGATGGATCATTAGACTGGAATCAATTTTGCAATGCCATACAGACTCTAATCAATACCAGCTTGCTCATATCATCTAATTAAGCCCTCTTACCGTAATAATTCCCTTTACTCAAGCCAATTATCAGCTCAACCATAAACTAGTTCAGGAAATACTCTTCACACAACCATATAAACCGAAAGGGTAGACATAGACTTCTGAAAGGGTGGGTGAAAATTGCACTATTCATTCTTATCCAAACGTAAGATTTGCCTCAAAGTTAGAAAATATGAGGTACCTGTAGAGATCCTACATGTATAGTTAGTCATACAAGAATATACCAGGTTTTTCTTTAATTTTTTTCCATCTATTTGAGTGGATGTCAAACAGCCGATGCTGTGTATTTATTAAAGAAATAGCTTTCACTAAAAAGTACTTAACATACACCTGTATAACTGTCCCCCCCCCCCCCCCCCCCAACAAAAAAACAAAACAACAACAGGGGGAGGAACAAAATACCAATCAGCGAATGCTTAATAATGAACATTAATTTGTTTAACTTTAACTAAAACTAAAAACTAAAACTATAACTTTAACTAAAAAGTACTGAACATACACCTGTATATTACTGCCCCCTCCAAAAAAAACAAAAAAACAGGGGGGGGGGGAACAAAATACAAATCAGCGAATGCTTAATAATGAACATTCATTTGTTTAAATATAAACATACCTGAGCAGCCCCTTCTTTTCCTCATTGTCCCATGTGTGCTCTCCTTTTTCTACCAGCTTGAAGAAATCAGCCCTCTTCCTATGCGATTAGGAATTAAAAAAAGTAATATATAAATTGTAATATATAAATTATATGTACATATTCATATATATATATATATATATTGTAAAGTTTAGAGCAGTACCTAATAAGATATGTTCTTTTGAAGAAAAAAACAAACATAAATGAATCTAAAATAACATATTGTGGTGGTAATGTATTTCAAGTTTCAAGATTTATTTTATCCCCTTTTTTGCTTCTTTTTTACACAGAATTTTCTTTTCCCAATGTAAAACAAATACAAGAATGAAGACCTTCCTTTAATACGCATGGGAAATAAAGGGGAACATGTAATAAGGACATTCATAAGAAAACCACAGAAAAAAAGTTATTTCAACACAGTATGCATATACATAAACTGGATTAATATTTTTTTAAGAGAATGTGATAATAAAATATCAGCCCAAGGGGGGGGGGGGGGGGAGGTAAGAAAAAAAACAAGAAGCATAATAAGAAGAACAAAGTAATATCAGTAATTGTCCAATCACTGGGGCTCACTTTGAATTCAATTCAGTTAATTCAGTCCAAAGTGAAGTTCTCATCTGCTGTAGAGCAATTTATCAGGTTTCATAAAAAAAAACTATTTATTTTGGGAGTTAAACAATGACACTGAATTCAATCAATTAAAATATCGCACAGTTGGGATCATAAAAATGAGACAGCCTTATATAAATCCCAGAATGTTGACACAAAAAAAACAATATGGTGTTCAGAAAGTAACACCATTACCATAAAGCACCTGAACAAGCTTGAATAGCGTCTGCGGATTATAAGAAGTAGATCAGCAAATCTATATAAGCTAGTCCACTATCAGTTTAATCTCAATAGGCTCTTCAATGACTTGACTACGCAGCAATTCCACTCCAAAAATATACACACACACTTGCTAAAATCCCTAGCCTGAATACTGGATATCAATGAATAACTAACATAGCTTGGTAAATGTGCTGGATCAACAGCATTCATTATGCATCAGATCTCTGCCCTTCTCTGGGTACATGTACATACACATTTAAAATTCCCAGACAATCTATCCCCAAGTACTCAAATTCTGTGTCTGGATTGACGCATAGGCAGTAATTTACATCATGTTCTGCATATTCAGCCAATATATGATAGAAAGTATACATTTATGAATAAACTACTAAAAAAATGTTTACATGACCTAATTCAATTTATCATGATGACAATTTTTGTCAATATATTATGTCTTATTTAATATGAAGCAAGTTGTGTGGGGTCCTCCCAACATGCAATCCCCATTTATGACTTCAAATTCCTCAGCGTGTTTGTTACTCCTACATATCAAAGATGTGTGAAAATGGCATGTATGTGTTACACAGTACAATTACTTTTTATGATCCTGTTTGCTACGACAACAATACATGAAATCAAAACAGACATAAGATGCCCCCAGACCTTTATGAGTCTATGTGCACTATTTTTGTAAGAACTGTGAAGCTATATTTTTCTTGAAATAATCATTGCCAATTCCTACTTCTTCAGTTTTCAATGGGTTGTCTATTTCAGCATTTTTCAACCTTTTTTGTGTTAGTTACAGCACCCTTTTAAGAAGTAAACATGTTCGCTTCACGTACCCCAATCCCAAATTCATCAGAAGATCTGTTTCCCATCATTCTTACATATACACACATAGGTGGGCATGACCTAATGCCTCTTGCCCAAATACATAGTATACCATTTCTAAATTTTGCCAGCAAGTGAAGAGAGCGCGGAAAAAATGACACTTTTATTATGGCATATATAATATTTTGTCATGTGTAGGACAAGATATAAAACCATATTCAGTACTTTGACACTTGAATATGAGGATATTCAGTATTTCCTGTTGCCAAGAATCATCCTTTAAAGTTTTACTGCAGTAAAATTGTATTTAAATATAAAAACACACTACGGTAGATAAGATTAAACTCAAGATAATAAGATAACTGAAGCAGCACCCTGGTTGAAATACACTGGTCTATGTTAGTATTAAAGTACCATCCACTGCTAGCCCACTATTCTCTTGAAAACATGCTTGTAATGAATCTTGCCATTCTCTCCCTCAAATGACTTTCACCACATGTTTTATTTATATCCCCACCCCTCCCAAGTTGTGAGGACAACTGAGATACAAAGATTTCAAGCAACACAAGTTCTAGACAAAGTTTGACGCACAAGATCTATTGGGTGCTACTAGTATAGTGTTCATCAGCTGTATAGGGCTGCTTTTTAGTACCCCGGCCACAACTGTCAATATCTTAAGAATGCGAGAGAGGGGAAGCATTTACAGGTTACAAGCTAGGGTTGATATACATGAAGAGAACAAGCAATCACTGCATAATGGATGTACTTACTTGAAGTAGATAGCCAAATCGGTTGACAGAATGGCACTTTCCAACATCCTTATAGCCTCACGGTAATCGTCAGGAGACATGAACTCAAAGATGTTGTTTCCCTGCAAGGGCAAGAATGTAATGTTACTTCATTTGATGAATTATCAATTCAGAAATTAAATAGGCAATGAAGAAGGGTCTGTACCTTGAATGATATATGTACATGTACATGTCATTAGGGTTCATGCATGTGTAAAGGGAGGCTTGGGAATGAGAAGCAGATAGTCTCATCTTAAAGGGAAATCCAACCCAAATTGACAACTACTCTAAAAGAAAGCAGAAAAATCAGAGAAGCAAACTGATGAAAGTTCCAATTAAATCTGGCTAAATATAAGATGATTTTTTTAGAGTTGTAATCATTATACCTACGGGCACTTCAAATTGGCTGAAGCGGTAATGTGAATGTTATGTAGTGCCGGACTACTTTCCCATCTGTTCCAACATAAAAAATGACTAAAATTTAATTTTTCAAAAATTTATGGCTTAGGAAGGTCTATTCTTTTTAGAGGACCTATAATAAAATGCTATCTATAATATATTTTGAGCAGTGCCCCAAGAGAAAAGGAACTTACAAAGAAAAACAGAATTAATAATATTTTTGTACACAGCAAATGGGAGAGTTACCCACGTCCTACGTCACAGTCCACTGACCAAACTACCAATTTGAGATTTGCATAGACTTAGTGATCTCTTATTTCAAACATTCCTAACTTCCTTACTATTGGTCCGATTCATTTCAAACTTTTGCCATTCTGTTTCTGTTATTTTCCTGCTCTCATTCAAATCAACTTATTACATGGGTTGGATTGCCCTTTAATCACATGCACACATACACCCACACATCCCCATCAAACACAAAATCAAGTAACAATTAAGAGATGCAATGGCAGTTTAATACCACAGAGTTATATAGAACGAATGGGCCGAAAGAGAAAGGAAAGTGTTTACAAAATAAAAGGGTTCTTATTTACAGAGGGAATTAAGCCCAATCTTTCTAAAGCACCTTTAATTGTTATTTAGCATTGCCATGTGACATGCATTCAATACACCCGGGTAAAGATAGGCAAATTTGGGCAAAATCCCTTGTCAAAAATAAGCATTGAGCATTAATTGAACCTAGGACCTTTCATATGAGAGTAAAGAGCCTTTATCATCATATCACAGTGCTCCTATTTAATAAAGGTGAAGGCCATAAAGTAAAAGGCCTGGCAAGGATCAAGAGATGTGTTTACACAGAGATGGTAGCTAGGATGAGCACAACCAGCTACTGCAGATAGGTACTTGCATAATTACAAAACTGTGTAATGTAAAAGCATGTGGTTTTAAAGGTACAATGTAACATTTTGAAAGTAACTCCATGTGATGATATTAAGAACAGACAAACAAAAAATACTCATAAACAAAATTACACTAGATAGATGTTTATTTATCTCGTCTGTTTAGGTGTGTCAATATAAAAAATATAAATTAATATTTTTGAAATGTTGAACCTGCTATTTATGTAAAAAAAAATTATGTTCAATAGACATTTTATTACTAAGACCTATAGTATACATGCAAGGATGTACTTTTTTTGGTCCTCATGTTGTCCATATCATTTGACCTGATTTTAAATTGTAGCAATTTAAACATCAAATATCTTTCCAAGAGTATACAAGAATTTAACCATCATGAGACAGGGCAGGGTGTTAATAAAATGAAAGATAGTATAACTAAAATGAGAATAAGATTAGGTCAAAGATAAACATTAAAACAATTAAAAAAAATAAAAGTTTAACTTACGGTGACCACTATAAATAGATAATTGTTTTTTTGTATATTTTGCAAGGATCCCTTTTAACTAGATATTTATGTGCTTTTCATAATCCTCCTACTTTAGATATCTCATTATATGTTTGTATTTAAAATATTTTATAAAACTGCTTTTATTTTGACATGGAAATAATGGTCCACCAATACCTGCATGAAGTTAAAATGAAAGCTACTATTTACACTTGTTGTGCATCACCAAAACAGTGCATACTCCAATACTAAACAGCAGTCGCTATAACAACAAACGGATAACTGGGTCGAAAAAGAAAACTGAAGATGGGACAAATGTGGGAAGATGAGAACACACCTATACATGTAGGAGAAAAGAATGGCAGAGAAGACCATGCACAGCCAACTCTCAGGGCCAGCCTAATTGAATTATTGCATGACACTTTAAGGGCTAAATTGAATTTGTGCAAATTTACACTTTGAAGCCCATGGGTAAATGGAATCCATTGGCAATCAGGGATGCACGGGACGGGCTGGATGAGGCGATATGCTTGCATTACCCAATTGCCTTGGTGTTATGTTGATGCAAATGGGAGCAAAGATACACGACCACAATTGTGCGAGCAATGCAATTTTGCGGTGGGGAGCTGCATAGCCCGTATTTCCTGCCGATCATTTAATTCAATTAGTGGTTCTTGATGTTAAGCTGAAATAAATGCATGAGAGCTTTCATCATAAGGACGCATCTCATTCATCAAGAGACTCTTATGTGGAGCAGAACTCATGCATGGCTAGAAATACTTCCCACTATATTGAGGTGCATTAATTAATGCAATCAATATCAAACGATATAATTCATAAAACACAAATTCATATCACCAATCATACATGTCTACTAAACATATATGTACAGTAAAGTGGTATACACAGAGTCTACTTCAAGAAATTTCTACAACATATGTTATGATAAATTCCACAAACAGCTTATCTTACAAAAATAATATTTCGAACGAAGGAATTATTGAACTTGACAGATCACTTTCCAATTTAGTTACCTACCAATCATAGCCTACAGGCTCCAAATCCAGTTTTAAGAAGCAATAATTTTTCTCCCTTCAAGTTCGAGAGCTTATATTTCCTTTTCCTCCTCTATTATTATTATCAAAGTATTAGAAATCTAAGAGGTAAAAGCTATCATCTTTCTGTCATTTCCAAAGCCCAATGTTATTCTTTCTTAAGTAGCTTCCCTCATCCTTGAAGGGGGACCTATCAATCAATGCAAAGCACATGAGACACTCCTAATTCCCAATCACGCACATACAAAAGCGCTTCACAGCGGTGACCGCTAAGTCCACAAACTCTCCAAATCCGATGTAATACGGCATGACATTACTAACACAAGTGCTTGGGGGCGAGTGCAATGTCGGGCGGGGCCCCTACTAATGCTAAGTAGTGTCCTGTCTGATCCATCAGATAGATGCAGACCATGCCCTCCTATATCCCTTCCATTAACGTGCAGGGGTGTTGCCAGTTAGTATTTTGGTTGGGGAAATTTATTGATTACAATTTATTTACAAAAGGAAATGCCTTTTGCTAAAAATGGAAATTTGCACTCTGGCCGGTGAAAAGAGTCATGTATCTTTTCCTACATCTGAAAAACTATCAGAAAATAAGAAACCAAATCAATTTTATTAGGAAGGGGATGGATTTGGAAATGCACCACCCCCACCCCCCCCCCCCCCCCATAAAAACCCAGATGATAATGAGATGAGAAAACAAAACACACATTAAATCTTTTTTTTTTAGTGCAACTGTTTTTATAAGCCAAACCAATTTACAAAGATTATTGATAAATTATTTAGGGAATTCAAGAACTTTTTTCCTTCGTGATCTAAGATCACCTTGCCTTTAAAAAAATTCATGGGTTTTGATTGCATGATTGGACAGAGCAAACAAATTCTCCTCCCGTTCTACTTTGGTTTGCAAATTGGTATTCCTTTATCCATCTGCACAAAATATGGATCAGACATCTCTTCTTTTATCTTCATATTGATATCAGTCCTCGAGATTGGCAATTTTAATTCTTCATTCCCCTATTTAATCCCCCCCCCCCTTTGTTTTTTCCCCCCTCCAGAAGTAATCTTCATACAAATTGAGAAATGGGACATTCTAATATTACTTTATACTCACCACGGCATAGAGTATAATTCCTGATATTTCTGAAGGGAAACTTCAGTCATTATTCTTCATGCCTCAAGCTTAAGCTTTATTCCCTCATCATGCAAACAGCGTGCATAATAACGCCAATGAATCTCTAATTTCACTGACATTTTCTCAAGCACACTTTCACAAGTCTGGCCAAAAACAACACAGGTACATTTTTTGTCAAAAGATACTGCTGATATACAAAATCGATGGTGAGTGCATGGACTGTATTGATCTAGAGGAAGGCAGGCTTTTTGCCTTCCCCTGGCTGGCCACAGAGCTTGTGATAAAGGCATCATTGCACTGGAATAAGCAGCAGAATCTCTTCCACATCAGACACTGCTAATGGAGATGAGGTGCTAAAGCATGCCAATATGCAGGCAATGCAAGTGAGATGTTTGTTGATTTCCTATGCTGATATGAACACGTATGGTGACTTCGACTGAATCCCATTTTATGAACATGATGAAAGGGGCTACGTGTACATGTATGACAAATAACTGACCAAGTTTTATGTATTGTAGGAGCCAAATCTTACTGTAAGCACAGTTTGGTTTATAAATATGTTAAGCATGTTCATTGACACAAACACGAAAATTATTATAAAGGACTTAACTGGATATTCAAGTTCAAATTCATCTGAAATGCTCTAACTTTAAGTCAAATCTATAAAAAAATTATTCTTAACACGTCTTTTTCTGCCTACATATTCAATCTCTTGCCCCACCCCCCCCTCTCTCTCTCTCTCTCTCTCTCTCTCCCCTCACTCTATTTTACTTCCTTTTTATATCTCTTTTAATATCTTGCTCATCTATTCCTTCTTTATCCTCCCTGTCCTCTTTATATTCCTTTCTCTCGTTTCTTTCTATATCTCTGCCCTCCCCTCTTCCTCTCTCTCTCTCTCTCTCTCTCTCTCTCTCTCTCTTTTTCTCCTCCTCTTATTCTTGAACTTGCTTCTCCATCCCCTCATGCCCTCTCTCCCCTCCCTTCGATCCCTGTTCCCACTATCTTGTTTTTTCCCTCCACACCTCCTCTCTCTCTTTCTCTCTCTCTCCCCCTCTCTCTCTATCTATCTTTCTCTTTTCTACCTCTCTTTTATCCAGATATACAAAAGCTCTCTTCTGCTAGAAGCACATACTGACCCTGCAAGTCTTTCTAGTACATCAAATGCCTACTTCCTTCTCTACAAGGTGTTTCTTTACAAATGACTATTTCAAATCAAATTTCACAAATAGAGTTTAAAACCGGTAACCGAATAGTTGCAAAATGAATTAATGGAGGATAATTAAAACTAGAGCGGTGTTGGCAAATAGAATAAAAGATGTAAACAAAGTACACAATACAATTTTCATATAGTCAATATACGAATGTATATAACTTCACTTGTTTAGCCCCAATGACATGTTTACAATGTATCCCTTACATTGGATGTAGTATGTTACTGACACAATTATGAAATGATGCATATTTAAAGGAAGACTTGATACATTTAAGATTTCAAAAGAATTTTTATTTTTTAAAGGATCAATATGACAATTTTATAATTTGTTACAATAAATTTGTCAAAAGTAGGTGAAAATTAGAGAGGAGTTCACCAACTTTTTCATTCAAGAAAGCTGTCTCATTTGTAAGCCATGTTTCATATTTTATTCAAGCGCGACAATATTGAATATGGTGTGAAACTCACCTCACTGTTGAGTATCATAATGCAGTGATCAAAGTGATGATGTTCCATGGTAGAGGTACCATACAGCAGAGACAGTGGGGAAGAAGTCCTACATATTGAAGAACAAATATGTTAGAAGACTTTAAATTTCCTTCACTTCTCAAGGGTTGTAAGTCCAGATAATGATGGAACAAACTTCCTCACAGAATCAAACAAAGGTTGGAAAATACACAGTCACAAATATGAAAATGTAAGCTGTGCTTTACAATGAATTTAATTTTGAGCAAGTTTTTGTAAATATACTATTCCTAAGTCCAAACTACCCATCCTGCATGATTAAAAGAAACAATTATTTTAAGCAACTCTCAATACAAATATATTACTTCATATAACATTTAAGTTGATCCTTGTCATTTGATTGGAGGATTGTTGGTCACATGATATTCAATAAATCATCTATTGATGTTCAATTCAGCGTGCATTTTTGATTATATGCGACCCATATTATAAAACAAATAATAATGCTTTTCCTTCGTTCAATAGTGCGAAATATTTTCATGACTTGAAAGATTAATGTTCTATTGAACAAGGCGTCATTGAATTCATAAACATTCATTATTTATATACTAATCATTACATTTTAAAGGGAATTTTTGGTGGATATAAGAAGTCATAGTTGAGGACTCACTTGACTTGGAAAGTGTTGTTGGTCCCCCTATGATCCAGGTCATGGCAGAGACAGGCAACGATGAGAGCAAAAATTTCCAGGTCTGTCAGAAGCTTCCTCAGCTTTCCAGTCTGACCATATGTGAAAGGGTCCACACAAAAAAACATGAATAATATTCAACCCATTGAATACAAATCTCACAATGACATAGATCAGGATTAAACACATTGAAAAGGCATGTTAAATTTTAAAAATCTAATCAGTTTAAAGTACATGTGTTAAACATGTTTGCTTCTTCAACCTGTCAATGTATTTAAGACTTATTCAATTTCATCTCTCTCTCAAAAAAAGACTCCTCAAAAATTGGGAATTTCCATTTCTTTGTACAGCTAAATACACAAGTTTGCGTTAAAAGTACACAAGGATTCGGTCTGAGATTGAATCAGCTTTGATATTGAACAAGAGAGAGCAAATGTGCAGGAGATGAAAACATCTCTTACAATAGTAAGAAAGCATTTACTTTTATTTCCTAGTATTACAATTTGTTCTTCTTATTCAAGGTATGTATGTGAGCTAAATCATGCTATTGGCTATCCCAATGTACTTGTACATGTATCACACATTGAAAAGATAGCTATAAGTGTTCAGGTACTGAAAAGAAACCAATAAAGAAAACTAGTGCCTCAGGATTATAAGTGGCAATTCGAGAGGAACGTGTTTCAGTTGTTTCATGGTAATATATGCTCTGGGCAACACATGAACGGAAAAGAAAAGGCGAAGAATACGAAATCAGTGTTTACCGCTCCGCAGGCAATACATGACACTCTAAATTTCACGTGCCCATTGACAAGCATAAGAATGGATGCACAAATGCAGCTCATTGGTATGCATGATGGTGGTGTCACTGGATATTAGCCTAGCTCCGTGGGCTATTATGGCACGCAGTTTTCATGCATGAATCTGCTAATGTTCTTGCTACAGGGGGGCATTAGAGCAGTGATGGCCGGCTGTATTTTAGCAACATGGTTATTCTGCCACCCACTTTAGCTCCTTAATTCAAGTCAATTTGCACACTGATGAGCACTTACCATACAATGCACATGTATTAAGTCACACAAGATTTTAAATTTGATCACATTGCTTCTCATTTGTAGAGTTACCTTAGTTAATAAGTATCAAACTCACTCTTTAACTCTCCCTCTTCCCATTTGTAAAGCGCTATATAAAAGTGGAATATTATTATCATCATCTCAGATAAATTCTGATATCTTATTTGCATCAGCAACATTCACCTTATATTGACATTAGACAAATAAATGATGTTACTTCTGTATATTAGAATTACATTAATCTTGTTTTTATAACAGCTTAATTGTTACAACACCCCTAGTCAGAGACAGAAAACATATTGAGCAGAAATAATCAACTTACCATTACAATGGAGAACATTGTTTGGGCCACATTGAAAGCATGCCGCCAATTGTGGTAGATCACTGGTCTGTAGTTCTTACGTACACTCAGCGTCCATCTACAGAGTACCTGTATAGGCGTTCAAGTGATATGAATAGCTGATACATGTATAAAGAATTACTATTTTTAATAATTTGGGACAGTATTTCAAAACAAGATTCAAACTCACTTTAGAGTGTTTTTGTAGCATTTCTATTTCTAATGGGAATAGAATCCCTCTTAATTGTTATTCAAATATTGTAACTGGTCTCAATCAACAAATACAACTACATTAATGAAACAATTTCTAATGAAAGAAGCATACGGTACATGATTTTGAAGGGGTATTGAGGTATTCCTATATCTCACTCAATAATAAAATAATAATTTAGTGAACATTTGTAATGCCCCATGTCTGTCAAAAGTTGTGAGAAAATGGTAAGACTGTGAGCATACATATCAATTCAAGAAAGAAGCAAAATACCCATAAGTTTAACATACTTCAGGATATAATTTTGCACTAATAAGAATCCTATCAACTTTGCACCCAAGTCCTCAAGCTATTAAATAAGCACTGATAAACCTCAAAATTGGTATTCTGAAATTTCAGAAAATGACTGAACTAAATTCACACTCTAATGCTTTATGTCTCTCCTCACATGTACTTCTAATTAAATAAAAATGTTATGCTTTCAATTTTGGCATGGTAAAAATAACAAAAAATTGTTTGCAAAAGAGGTGTGCGAGTAAAAATCAAGGGATAGAAAATTAGCTAAATTCTTTACATTATTGTTAAGGTTGATTAAACGCTTAAAAAGCTTTGAGATCTCTTTACTCCTCAGTTACATGAAATGCAAATATATGATATAAGATACAGAATGTGAAGCACAAAAAACCATGGTTACCATGGTTCTTTTTTATAAGGGGAAATACTTGTGTCGCTTTTTTCTAGGCAGTTTGGTGAGCAGTTTAGCCCATCACGTGTGAACAAGGCTCTATATACAAATATTGTCTGAAGTCTAGTCACATACTGATGTTATTGATATTATGCGTGGATGTTTCTACATCTAGCTCACACAGCTAGGCTTCAAATTCTTGGAGATACTGCACAATGAATTCATGGTACTGGATTTGGCACAGACTCCCACTGATAATGAAAGGCATTCACGTCTGTCGTTGCAATATTTTCATGAATGTTCTTTACACCTCAAACAGGCTAGAAATGTTAAGAGAAAGATGATCGAGTGTGTCAAAACACATCTATTTTGATGATGTATACTGCGCCCACTGCAGCAGATTTGCAATCATTTCATCATGTTTTCCTCTCCCTATGATGTATGGCATCACATAGTATTTCATAGCCCATTTGCCAGTGTCTGTTATCATATGGAAAGCAACTATGTGAGCTAGGTACTCTGCATGCAAAAACAAATGCACATAAAAATCTGCTGGAGATCCCACAGCATTTACAATTATAATTATAATAACAACAGTTGTATTTACAAAACACTTTTTCCAGAGGACACAAAGCGCTCAATAATGAAAATTGTTGTCATAAGATTACAATAAGGCGCTATAAAAGTATTTAAGTAATTTTGTAATGCACCTGGGCGAAGAGTGGCAATTGAAATTGAATGTCTTGCCAAAGGATGCTAGCCACCACAGGGATTGGAACCCCATACCATGTGGTCCATAGTGCGATGACTTGTCCACTAGACTATGAAACTTAAATGCAACTGACTATCATGATTAAAAACCTACTGCATGGAAAGAGATTTATCAAATTTGTTCTTACGTCATATGGGATGTGGTACTTCTCGATGAGGTTACACTCGATGAACATCCTCAGTGTGCCTTGAAGTGTCTGATCTTCTGTCAAGTCAAAGTCACTGAAGCTGAACTCATACAGCTTCAACTCCCGCGCTGAAGGCACACAACTTTTCTGTATTATTGTAGATAAAGAATCAAGAACAAAAATTTGTTTTTTTACAATTTCAAGTATCGTCTATTTGTTGTTGACAACTTGTGACTAGCTACCTAGTGGGCAGAGTTTCATGGTGTGAACATCGTGAGTATACTATGAACAATTTTTGAACTGATACATTTTTCCAAATAAATCACAATACTTTAAATGTCATTGTTAATGAATAGTAGTAGAAATAATAATGGTATTCCATGAATACCGGCTAAATAGCATATACATGAAGAACCAAACTCAGGTTTCTTTTATTCACATATTGTACCTCTCAAAAAAATAATTAACACACTACCAAAAACAATTTAATAACACAAAATATCACTGTGTTTATCAACTCTTTGCTTTTAAAAATGACAATAGGAGGACATCACTTTGAAATTTAATAAGAAATTCAAGCCAAAATATACCAAAAGTGTGAATTTCATTGCTAACCAATTCACCTGCCCACTAACATAACGCACACACACAAAAAAACTCACCCACACCCACATACCAACACACACTTCACATACACCCACACCATACCACACCAAAACACTCACATGCACACGCACAAAGAAAGGATGGAATAGTAACATGACACAACCAGAAAGCAACACATTTAGGAGATTTAATTTATCTACATGTATTTTGGATATCTTTAGCATGGCCTCTATGCATTGGTGTACTGGGAAAGAGAAAATAGATTTCCCTGCTCCCTGTCTGTCTGTCTGTTGTGACATCTCAAATTGACAAATATTCATAGAGCAATTTATATCAGCTGCCTGTAAAAAAATATATATGCAAAACATTGCCACCTAGATGAATGCTGATATTGTCTATGTGAGTAAGTATATCTCTGCAATTGCTACAGCACCTTCAGGTATAATCTCTCTCTATTTCTCCTTTCCCCCCCCCCCCCCCCTCCCCCCTCCCCCCCCCCCCCCCCCCCCCTCCCCCCCTCCCCCTCCCCTCTCCCCCTCCCCCCTCCCCCTCCCCCCTCCCCCCCTCTCTCTCTCTCTCTCTCTCTCTCTCTCTCTCTCTCTCTCTTCTATTCATCTTTGTCTCACTCTCTCACTCTCTCACACTCATTCTCTCTGTCTCTCATTACTTGCACAATTTTCTCCTCTATCTTCCCTTGTCTTTCTTTCCCGCTTCTTTGCTCTAACTCTTTTTGTACTGCTCATCATATTTATTGGCCTATCCACTGCTTTATTGTCAGGCTCTTTACAATCCAAGCTCGTTTTGATAGGGAATATTGTTTTTCCAATATTGCTTGCGAAAGGTCAATATGGATGAAGTGGACTTATTTAGAAATGCCTAAAGTAAAGAAGATATAACATGAATCTCATCACAAGCATACGTTTCAATGGAAGGGGGAATCGAAAATGCTTTGGATGATTGATTCTACCATTGATCAAATTTCCTCTTATTGATTAAATCCCATTGTTGGGGATTACCACAAGAGGCAAAAGCTAGGAGTGACTGGATAGCAATCAGAGAAAAGAAAGATATAGGGAAGGGAAAATGATGGCTGTCTCTCTAATATTTTCATATCATCAGTTTATTAAAAGGTATCAAAGTCAACAATAGATAGATAAACACAGTATATTACATATAATGGAAACACTTTTTTATAATGCATTGACACTGGACAGTATAGATTAATTGCTTTTATCATCTGGACATAATGGATTGAAAAGATAACTTTAAATTCACAGCATTTTCCATAATGGATTGGAAAGATAAATTTAAATTCACAGCATTTTCAAAGTGATAGAAAAGGTGCAAGAAGAGCTTGTAGTATGATATATGCTTCTAAAAAGCAATGCCTAAAACAAACAATCTCAACACACATTCTATTGTTCATCAATCTCTTGTACTCTTTTCATAAGTAATCCATACATGTCCATATGGCAATACTGGTTATAATATCCATGAAGAGAAGCATACGGGACATCAGAATTCAACCTCAGGATATTTGAACTATTAGCAGTGACGAAGAACTTGTTTTCCCACTTAAGGATACAATGAAACCCAATGCTGGTCAGTGAAGGAAGGAAAAAAAATGTGTGGTTGAATATTCCCAGCTGAGTTTTTACCCAGGGAAAGTCCTATGCAATAGCAATTGACCATGTTTTTCCAGATTCCTGCCGATTTTGAGCGGGGCACTGAAACGCAGACTGAAGGATTGAAGCATTTTTTTGTTACCTTCATGGACTTTGCCCACGGGCGGGCGGGCGGCCACACATCTACAGGACTCCTGTCAAGTCAACTGACAAGAGAGAAGAAAGGTGCAAACTCTAGCTGGCATGACAAAACTGCTTCAAGCTAAGACACAGGAATGTGCATGAGCTAGCTGCAATCATGCTGCTGATGCTACATAAAATCATTTTACCTACTAATCCAAGTCTTTGAGCAATCTACATGTAAATGCCGGTATCAATTGATGATGAGGGTACATGTACTGGTTCTAGTTCTGTTTCATCATTAAGGAATCTCTTTCATTTCTCCACCCCCCCCCCCCCATTCACAGATGGTGAGACAAACACTTAAATAATAAATGTATGTTCTAATTCCTGTGTATCTACCGTGTGAATCAAAAAAAAGTTTACACCTAGAAAATTGCCTATTATTTTAAAAATCATCTATGAACAGTAAATTATTATACATCTTATGAAAGAGTGTTTAATCCCAAATCATTTGGTATCATTTTTGTGTTGTTTTTGTTCATGCTTGGATGAACATGATGCATTGTTTGCGAGAGTGCAAAAATCGCTTTGCGCCAAAGTGATGCCTATAGCATGTATTATGTTGGGATTAGCGCAGTGAGAGAATGAATTGAATGTATCAAATGAAATGCATTGCATATGCTTTTGCAGAAGCAAAGTCACACACACACGCGCTCAAAATGTTCATTGATATTTGATATTTGATATTTGATATGTGTTGCATGATTAATTTTGGTAGGGATCGATGTTATTTGGATCTGCAAAGACCGAATTAATAACCAAATCCTAATTGTTTTTATTCAAACATCACACAAGCAACTTTGGCGCAAATCGTTTTTTGCACTCTCGCAAACAATGCCTCCTGTTCATTCAAGCGTGAACACATACCGCACAAAAAAGATACCAAATGATTTGGGATAAAATACTCTTTCATAAGATGTATAATTATTTACTGTCCATAGATGATTTTTAAAATAATAGGCAATTTTCTAGGTGTAAACTTTTTTTTGACTCACTCTGTATTATTGAACTTGTTTGTATTCAAGCTATGTCCGCACCAACTTCTTCCCTCTGGCAGTAATTACAGGGAAGAATATCATTTCTCCCCCAAGTCATAAGAGTAATTCTCACGTTACAAATTAATGACATGTTAAATGTCTTGTTACAGACAAAAAGACAACATTTACATGTACGACATCTATCCATTTGCACAATAATTTTCAAATTATTGCTGACATTTGAAGTGTCCCCTTTATCAGAGCTGCCAAGTTGCATTTTGCATTTTCAGTATTCTTATCCTCCAAAATCAGTATTTTGATTAAAAAATCAGTGTTTTTTCCACATGAAAAAAATATGCATGCATATCGGCAATGTTCAATCACTTATTAAATTTCCGTCACACATGTAAACAATTGTGTTGTACTAGATCTACACTACCATTAATCTCTGTGTATAAGACGCACTTTTTTGCTGCCGAAAAAATTCAAAGTCGAGGGTGCGTCTTATACACAGGTACAAATTTTTTTGTTGATTTATGCCCCTCCACTTGGCGCTATGCCTGGCAATGTCTCCCAGCTCAGTAATCGGTGTGTTGACTCACCACTCGGAAACTAGAACAACACTCAAATTTGTCTGTCATCTTAGTTTGAAAGTAATCTTTCTGATAGATCTCAATATGAAGTTTAAAATAATAATTCCTCCAATTTTTCTTCTATTACACATGGTGTACCACAAGGTTCTATCCTAGGTCCTTTACTGTTTTTTAATTTTACATTAATGATCTTACACATTCAACTGCACATCGCAGTTAAATGAAAGTCCTTCCCGCGTGGGTTTTTTAACACGGACCTGGCTCGCTGCCGACAAAAAAAAAAAAAAAAAATTTCATCCGTATTTTAACATGAAAAAAACGTACGTCCGTATTTTAAGTTGATTTCCGTACGGAATACGGCAAATCCCTACTACTTGGCAGCTCTGCTTTTTGCACAATCTCACCCCCCCCCCCCCTCTGTAACTCTCTCTCTCTCTCTCTCTCTCTCTCTCTCCCCCCCCCCCACTCCCCCCACTACCTTTTCTTTTTTATTGTCTCTACATTTCCAACTCAGTTTGGGCTCTTGCCCTCCCCCTTACTCTCACAAGCTCATTGCAACCTTTTTCCTCTTATATCTGTATCCTTTTCTTACCATTGATTTATTTTCTTCTAGGATGCTAAGCTATAAATATAGAGGAATGGAAAACAAAACCCATTATTGTTGAAAATCATCATCTCCCTTGCTAAAAGGCAGGACCGTTAAAACAGGATCTATTAATAGTTTATACACTAACTACCTCGATGACAATGAAAAAAATACTAAAATTGTCATTCTGGTATTAAGCCACATGACACTTTTAAAATGCATCACCACTATTACAGTTGTGCCATTTGTGTTCCAGACATATCTCATTTTGCTTGGACACATCTTCATCTTCATCTTCAAGAGGTGTGAGGACCTTCTAGGCTCACCTGAGCCAAGGAAAGTAGGGGCCTCACAATAAGGTACCTACATTGTAGTTCCCATTGCCTTTGCATCAGGGACATAAGATTTATTGGAACAGTGGGGCAATTTCTGGGTGCTGCTCCCTAGTCCCCTGCAAGGACAGGTATCCCATTCAAACAAACTTAGGTTTTCTTCACATACAAATTATTGCTACATTTAACTAGAATCCACACCAACATTTTGGTATGAAGTCACATCTACACTCATAATCTATCAGAATATGAAATGAAATAATAATATTACATTCATGAAGCACCTTTTCATTTTAAAAATACAAAGCGAAAAAATTAGGGTAAACATGCAGGCATTTTGAAGAGATATCCTCAATTCAAATTAAACCATTTTAAAAAACATTTTTCTACAGCTTTCAAGATTCACGTATGCGCATTTTAAAGTTTGCTGTGCTTGTATGGATATTCCGACGGTGGATATGGAAGGCTGCCCCAAGCCCCCTCGGGGGCATATTTTAGATCTGAACAACTTTAGATCTCCCTTTCCTGCAGGTGATTCCTTCCAATTTTGGTTAGAATCCTGCCATGGGTTTTCAAGAAGAAAAAAAAAGGTGCAATTAACCCCTTGGGGTTGTGTACCCCCATTTGAATAACTTAAGATCTCCCTTGCCTGAGGATAATTTATACTAAGTTTGGTTAAAATCTGGCAATGAGGTTTTGAGAAAGAGTCCAAAGTGTAAAAAGTTTACGGACGACGGACAATAATCGACAGCAAAAACTCACTTAAGCCTTTGGCTCGGGTGAGCTAAAAAGGCAAGAAACTGTACAGAAATACGGCAATGCTGTTATTCCAAAAAGGGATTACATCATCTTAATGGAGTGACAATGTTGGGGGGGGGGGATATTATCAGCTTGAGTAAAGCACGGTATTGAGTGATCACACTGCTGCATCTCTATAAGGATCTTTCACACCGTCAAGATTCAAGATATTTTATTTTATAACCACAAAACATACAAACATTGATACAAAATACAGTATGGAATATAACAATTGATAAGGTCCAAAAGAACAGCAAATGCATGTGAGGAATGGCCCTGGAAGATTTCTCCATGTCAACTTTCTCACCTCTGCATTCGATGCCATTTAAGTGAACTTTGTATTTGAGTGGTGAAGTCGGTGTAAAGGATAAATACAAACAATTGTGTTTTTGTAAACAATTGACCAGAGCATTTTTATTTGACCGCACTGTTTATAAATAAGTTTGAAACATTTTACATATCATGTTTGCACACCATTAATTTCTTCACAGGGTTATGTGTTATAGCGACCGCTTGTGAGTTCGCGGAGTGACCATGGATGGTGCAAAAGAGCCTCACAGTGATGCAGAAGCGTGATCACTCAATACTGTGCTTTGCTCAAGCTAAATATTAATTTGTCACTGGTTCCACAAACTGACGTACATGCATAGGCTCAAGTACAGAAGATGTGCAGTTCACGAAACCAGCAGCTAATTGAGGAATACCTTTCAAACCTGACATTAAAAACAAACATGGATGAGACATTGGGGATATCGTATCTTGTCTAATGAATACATGACAATAGTACAAACAAGTGGTACAGCAACAACAAAACACTGAATGAAAAAGTCCAACATACAAAAGATCCATCCAAAGGATAAGGTTGCATACAACAGAATTTTGGAAAAGTTTTGATCAAAAGGGCCTACCTTGAGTTTTGAAACCTCGTCTGGTTGTGCAGTTGCGTGGTACGAGAGCACATCAAGGGCAACCTGTTGCTTGGCCATCAGCCTCATAGCATTCTCAAACATCTGAGTGTTGTGGATACCCAGTCCACAGAAGATAGCAAAAGCCTGCACATAAGATGGCAAAAAAGATGGAGTAAGAGAAAAGGAGAGATAGAATAAAGGTCTGGCTAATATCTAAGTGTACATGTACATGTCATATGAAAGATTTCTTAACTTGGATTACAGAGACCTTATTTCTGTATTTTTACTTAAATATAATATAAAGAACTGGTATTAATGTGCTAACTGAATTAATGCTAAGTTTACAAACCATAGAAGAATTTATTTTTATTTTTTAGATCTACTACACATAATCAGTCAAAGATCAACCATTCAAGTAGATATTCATTGATTTTAAAAACTAACTTTATTTTCATTATTGCAAAGTTGAAACTTTGATTCGACAAGATTATCAAAATTCAATGCTTGGAAACATTCAAAGTAATGATTATTATAAATTAAAAAACGCTTAAATACAGCCCCGGCATAGCACCTGAAGAGCTCTCCGAGCGCTGCTGAGATGTGTGAGATCATAGTATGGACATAACTTGCACAAGCAGACGATGTCCCATGACATCTCACACATTTTCAGTGCCTGCGTTTTCATCTTCTCTTGAGTTCTTTCTCTTACTTCACTACCGTCGGGCTAAATGTAAAATCTATTGCCTCACTCTAAACCCCGTGCATTGTTTTATTTTGATGACAAATGCAGCGATACAAAAATAAAGGAATCTGTCGCTTGTAAACAAAATAAGGCGCCATTGTATAGTCAGCTGCACACACCAGGGTATGTTCGGCGTTTCAAGAGGGAACAAATGCCGTCCTTAATATCATTCCGGGGCTTTTTAATTTGAAAGTCTGGTTTCTTTGATTGTTAATTAACCCCTATCCTGTGTATTTACAAGCAAAAGATTTTAGTTATCAGAATCTGGTCATATCCCCTTTTGAAGGGTTTGACATGCCATTACATTTATATACACAAAACGTATTATAATTTGAGAAGTACTGTAATAGCTTTGCAATTATGTTCATTCTCTATGGGATGTCGTCTGCTTGGGCAGTGTTGGTCCATATAGTGACGTCATTAAAACATCGTTATTTTTCCGACAAATCTCTCGTATATCCCAGCTGCTATGGAGGTGGTTGTATTTGTATTTGTATTTGTATAAAACACCCGATATGTAGTTGACCTAAAACTTGTCCAATGGCCATCTGTTAGCTTACCAGTTTCTAGTGATACACTAGTTGACATATTTGTGATCTTCTTTGAATTTCACCTTTAAGGGCTCTGCAGTAAATAACTTAGTGTGATTTAATTTAATGTGTGAAAAAGATAATATAAATTCTTATGAGTTTCATTTATAGGCTAACACACATGGGCAATATTCATTGAATATGAAATATTTCTTTTGATATTACCAAATCATACCTCTATTCCTATATTTGTTTTTCTCCTCTCTCTCTCTCTCTCTCTCTCTCTCTCTCTCTCTCCCCCCCCCTCCCTCCCCCCTCCCTCCCTCCCTCCCTCCCTCCCTCCCTCCCTCCCTCCCTCCCTCCCTCCCTCCCTCCCTCCCTCCCTCCCTCCCTCCCTCCCTCCCTCCCTCCCTCCCTCCCTCCCTCCCTCCCTCCCTCCCTCCCTCCCTCTCACCCACCCATCCTCACCCTCTCCCTCACTCACCCACTCACTCACTTAATCAATCTTTCCCCAATAACTGAAAAGGGAAAAGCTCTCTAGCATACATTATTGAGCATGGGAGTAGCCTCAGTGCTATACAGATGCACATCTCTTACAGCATCCCATCCTTAATGGATAGCTTAGAATGGTGGTAATCAGCCTTTATCTGAAAGCAGGCACCAATATATTTGATCCATCTTACTGCACTTAGACCGATCAGAAGATTGACAACAAGGAAGCAAGAGACTTTAATCCCAAAGCCTTTCCTCCATATCACACTAAGTTTCCTGCTCTTACATTAACCTGCCATCCCTCTGATTTTGATCTGACATATTTAATTGAAATGCCCAACTATATTCTTCAGGCCAGGGATTTTCCCTTTATCTACTTCTTTATTTTAACTGAATGAATCTTTTAAATTCACAGTATCATCTTATTCATACATTTTCCTTCCCTACATTCACTCTAATCTGTCCTCATACTTCTTATTTTGTCTTTCTTTTCCCCCCATTTTTCCTGACCCATCCTTTATATACTTCTATTTCTTTCATACTTTTAAAATATTAATATAACACCTAAGCCGAAGTTAACATGTTGAATACCGATCTACCCAGAGTACATGTGTACTTGGAACAAACTGAAAATACATCAATTGTCTGTGACAGCTAGGTTTGGATAATGCAAACAATATAATCTAGAGAAAATAACATTTATCAGTGAAATTGAGGATTTTTATCCTTATTCTTCACCTCAGAGAGAAATTGTTTGTGGTCTGTAAAATCATTTCAGAATTAAAGCACGATAAAAAAGGCTTCTTCTGCATTGCATATACATACGTCAAATATCGGATTTGTCTTTTTGATCAGTGAATCTGGTATTCACTTTTGATACTTAATTCCAAGTCTTCCATTTAACTATTGTAATCTGAAAGAAACACACAGAAGGAGAAAGTGTTCCTCATCTGCGACTACTTCCCTAATTGATAGTACTTCCTTTCCTCTTTGTTTTCTTAGATAAAGGTAAATCCAGTCCTGCACAATGAATGCATGTACATTTATCTACAAAGCTTTACAACCTGTAAAAGCCACATAAAGTTGATATTCCTAATTTTACTACTTTGCATTCAATGTCTTTTCCACTTCTCTTCTCCCTCATTCAATCTTTCACCTCACTCATATTCATTTTTGACTGTTTTTTTTTTTTTTACCGTCATTGCAAATAATACCGGCTTTACAAACTGCAATCATGCTATTTGAATCCATTTGCATTTCCTAAGTTAATTCAAGCATTTTACATGACTTCATGGCAAAATACATAATATGTACATATTAAAGGACAGTATAGTCTTCTACATTCTTCTAAAGTCCATGTCACTGAACATGATGAATACATTTTAAGATTGTTATAATCAGTCAAATTTAAATGATATGCAAATTAGCTTCCACCATAAGAATATCACAATACATATTTCATCTTAACATCCTAAATTGCATTTAAGTCCCCACTTACAAAAATTCAACTGTTGAAAGATGTGTTTTCTGGGCTGGCGAACATGGTGGAATAGTTGTCTGATTTACATTGCAAATATTTTGCTATCATAATTACATGAAAATATCCAAATCATAATTTTCCATATAAGGACCCGAAAGTGAAAACTTACTTGCATATTATGCATCAAATAACATCTTAACCAATCTTTAAATGGTTTCAACATGTTCAGTGGCAATACCAACATCAATTACATCATTTGAATTGATTCACCAGGGATCTCAGATGGCAAAATATGATAACAATATGATTTTAATTATAGTTTTGATGGAAGCTTATTTGCATATTTTGTAAGCATTAACCATAATATTGAATTTAAGATGTGTCCACTTTGTTCACTTGAAAAAATTAGAATGAATACTTGATTTGTTCAAATTGGTTATTTACAATGATGTTAACCAAAAAAAAAAGTTTTTTTTTTTTTTTTTTTTTCTTTCTTTATTGTTGAAGACTATTTGCACATTTTGCAAATTATATTTATTACATGATTTTTGTAATATGTCCATCTTTTTTACTGCCTTTGAAAACATCAGATTGAATACTTGATTGATTTTAAATGGATACATAGATGCAAATTTACAGGGAAAGTATGAATTTCAATTTCTTTATGACATATACTATGCACATTTGGTTCACAGTTTGGACACCAAATTGTATCCACCACGCAACATTAAGAACATATAAATCATTTCAGTCCGGTACTTAGGTGAAAAATTAAGGCAAATTTGTTCTACTCATGGCCAATGTTAATTTGCAAATTATGCAATTCAATTAAAGTGATGGAATGAATCTGAAAATGTCATTGTGTTGACTGACGATATAAATATCACTTTAAATTTCCACACTTTAATTTGCCTCGGTCAGTTGGCCTGCATGATTACAAAAAAAGAGAACATAGCTCAATCTTGCATCACATGTATGCGATGAAGCATGGACATATTGATAATCACATTTCAGTGTACATATGCCTTGATGATAGACTCCTGCACAGCATGGCCCAGCATGAAGAATGACATTACCTGTCTCCACCATATGCTCTACATGATATACATCAACCAAACAAGTTTCAATTAAGGGTAACCCTGACATGCATGTACAAGCAAGCAAATTATGTTAAATTTGTTCTAAAAGGTCCAAATATAGAAAATAATAATAATAATTTTCAAAACAATAAAAGAACATTTTCCTTACATAAACATGTTGTATGTATCAGTTTCATCTCATTACAATTAAAATAATGCATGTATGTGTGATTGCCAGTTTTCTTTTTAGAGAAACACACTAGATTCTGTTTAAACATCCCCATAAGCTGGTTCTGATACACTGTATGATTGTTTTTCTTCCTTGCCTTTGTTCAGGGTCAAGTATAAATCTCTTCCTGTATACAATAGACATTTTATATCATTTATTTAAATATACATGAACACTATCAAATAGGCTACAAAAAAACTTGATATACTTTTGTTTTTAAATGAGCAAACAAAAGTTGAAAACACTCAAACAACTGACTGAACAAGATTTCCATGTCTGTTTCCTACATCTACTGTGGTTCCTGCACAATAGCAATGCCTCCAATATCAACAGGTTAAACAATTGACGCCACTAGCCAATGTTACCATGACAACGAGGCCTTTGTAATCAGACATCAATGAGTGCTACCGAGCATCTCATTTGCAACAGCCATGACCAAAATTATGGATTAATAACAATAATTCACAAAAATAGAGCAGTCGGACGGAGGCTTAAATTTGATAATGATTACATGGATGATTGAAAAGAGAAATGTATGCATGGAGTATTGCTATCAAACAAATCAAGGATACATATTACACCTGGGGAATTAGTCCCAAAATGATGAATCTCAAAACATGAAATGAAATTTAAATTTAAAACACATGAAATAATGTTAAGGATGATGTAAGTCGTGTACATTTTTCCATGAAAAACTTCAAAAAGAGAAAAATATCCCTCATTACATCTCAATTCCAAAGACCTATGATTATGTATTTTCTGTATTTGCCAGGGCAATCTAAAGCAAATGTCTATTAAACTACTCATATTGAAGCTGGTGGCAAAGCATCCTTGAACGGAGAGACATGGGACATATATGGAGTAATTGACCTAGATCTAGGAATGAGACATGAAATATGTTCCATATCCAAGAGGATCAGAATACATGTCTGTTATGACTTCAAGTCTTACATAGTGTTGATTTATGGTTGCAAGGCAAGATTTGTCTGCATGTTGAGCAATTGGTTGAAGACAATTGCTTGATGGGAGATGGTTTCCCTCAGAACAGACGAGTGAGATAAATGGTTTAAATGGCCTCTCCGAAAGTGATTGCATCAGGGAATATCTATCAAATGCCATGCACACAGGAAATTGATTTGCCTTTAAAAGAGTCAAATTGTTTTCCTATCTCAACTTTTGTAGGGAGATTCTATTGCAGCGCTCAGGATATTGCTTTCGGGTATGACTCTTTATATAAAGCACAGATGTGAAATCGTCTGCGGTCATTGCTACCCATCCTGACAGAATAGCAATAATAATCTAATCTTTTTCAAATATTTCAATTCCACACAGCTTGATATCTGAAGATTTGTGAAGCATATGGATGCATGCTCAAAACATGATACTGTTTGTGTAGGACAAACTGTATATAGGAGGAGCTGTAATGCCCATAACTTTTCTTCCCCATGTTGATAAATGACGTCAAACCATCAGGAAAACCACACACCCACATATATCAATCAGACTACAGACAAATAATTAATTGATAGATGGATGGGTGCACAAGGGCATGCACACACATATCAGACTCAGCCTTGCCTGTCATATTCATACAAGTGACATTTATAACTTAAATATCAATTAGGATTTATTGCAATCTGTTTAACTTTCATGTTTGCTATGCCTATTAATAACTATCATCTCTACTTGGATTGCTGGATTGTATACAATAAAAAAAGATATGTCATATAATATGAGGACTTGAATGTTCATCACTATTTATTCTTGACCCTGAAATGATTGAACTGCCATTGAAAGAGATAAGGAATAAAGAATCAGGAACACTTAACATTACATTATAGATAAATCATTAATTGTCTTTTACATGAAAATATTTCTGACAAGGTGGTGGACATGCATCAGGAGTCCATAAGTCTGACAATGTGTGCATCGATCATTCTGCTGGGAAAAACAGAATCACTGCGCACAGTACATCAATGATTACGCATAAGAGCGTTTAAAGACAACATTCCTACCTCAAAGAGATGTTCATCCTGGTCTGTGAAGGTCTGTTTGCAAGCCTTGTTGATCATCTGAGCTACACCAATAATCTTCTGCTCACTGTTGTAGATGGGTTGGCAGAGGACGGATCGAATCCTGAATTCTGGGTCCACGTCACTTATTTCCTTGAACTGTTTCTGCACAGTGAAGTCAGCGATATTGGTTGTCTGCATCCAATGGGATGGGTATAGACAAATTATGATTAATCTAGGGCTCCACAATCTGGTCCATATTGTACAAAACAGTTTCCACGTAACAGACATCTTTCATTAAAAAACTGTCAATGAGTATGATTGAAGGGATAGGGTCAACCAATTATAGACTCCAAAGACAGTGATTCAAGAAAAAACTTGAACCATTATCTCAACATTTATATCACATCAAATTATGAAAGATAGAGATATTGAAATTTATTAAATGTATGACTGCCAGGCGTACCGAACATGCAAAGGGTAACAATTAAGATCTGTTTGCAGTAATCAACAACTTATAATAACATAATAACATAATAACAACAACAATAATAGCGCATATCAAATTATGATGTATGTCTCTTTGCACCTCCGAAGGACTTTGAATATTATTACATGGCTTTAGCTCAGTGGATTCAAGGAATAAATCCTACCAGGTACCTATTAATTACACCTGGGTAGAGTGTAGCCAATGTAAATTAATCTCTTGCCAAGGAGATTAATGATGTAGCAGGGATTCAAACCCCGCACCTTGCATTTCACAGCCCAAAGACTTGTCCACTGGACCACAATGCCTCTATATACCAGGCATGAGGGTACAGAGGTGCAGAGACATTTTCAGGTTCAAAAAGGCAACATTATCTTTTAATTGAACATTCTATTTGACTATAATGTACTTGAAAGGACACCATCCATTCCTAGTTCATAATCACTATTTGTCAAAGGTCCTCTTTTGCATTTAGAAATCAACAGAAAATGAAAACAATTAAAATAAAATGAAAACTATCATGCCTACACAAGCAAAATTGGCCAAGAATTTTATTAAAATACAAAATGGCTGATGTCACCTTTAACAGAATGTTATGAGGTACTAAGTGTTCCAGATATCAGTAGGCCCAATGATAGCATGTCGGGAGTCCTTCATGAGCAAAAATGTATTATCCAAAGATTTCAATTATCACCGTAACCTTATTAGAAGCCATAATGGCAATTGCTTTCATAGGCAAGTACTGATGATACTATCAAGATGCATTAACCGTAACTCCATCTACATGCATTCATCAATATGGAAGCTCACTCCATTAGCTTAATCGAATTGAGCTGGCAAATCAAACCAGCATTTCCTACTTGTGCATCCTTTTGATATTAATCAAGGACTATAACTTGCTTACAGCCAGTAATTTGCCCTGGTTCCCCTGTCCGATGAAATAATACAGAATGCCTTCCAATTGCCCTGGGGAGTTTTACTGGTAATGACTTGCCATTATTTTACAGTTTAATCTGTCTTCAAAGCTATACTAGCTAATCATTCCTGTTAACCTTCCATGATTGGATGTCTATGGTGTGACAGCATCACATGGATGGACTTAGTGAAGAACGTGGGAAAGAATAGGAAAGGAAGGGATAGGAACAAAAAGAAGAGGAAATAAAGAAGTAAATAAAGACAGATATAGAGAGGGATACAAGACGGAGAGAAATGGAGGGACGAAGAGGGAGAGAGAGAAAGAGAGAGAGAGAGTGAGCAAATGGAGGGGGAGAAAGAGTGGGAAATAGAGAGAGAGAGAGAGAGAGAGAGAATAAACAAGAAAGCGAGAGAGTGAGAAAATGGGGGGGGGGGAATTGGACAGATAGATATTTAAACTAAAGTGAATAAGGTGACATTTTTGTAATGGGCAACATGGAAAAGTCTACAGAAGTGTTGGACAAAATAGCACCTAAAACAGAAATGAGGTCATCTCAGAAAATGACCTAATTATAAAAATATTGATTATCTAACTACTTGGGGAAAACAGGGCACACATTTAAACATTAAAACAGAAAACAAGGAAAGCTGGAGAAAATGTGCAGACCTACCTCTCCTGAATCAGCAACATGACGGGCTATAGTAGCATTGATTGAGTTTTTCAGCATCTCATGACTATGGAAAAAGAAGAAAAAAACTAAATATGACAGCCCTATATCAAAATAAAAATTTAAAAAATAGAAATAATCAACTTCTTGACCCAAAAATGTAATTAGGTAATCTTCACATGGTCATACATACTCTCACCAAGTTTAACTATGATAGCACAATTTGTTTTCAAATTATTGTGTTCACAAGATTGACCTGTGACCTTTGAAAAAACTAAATATGACAGCCCTATATCAAAATAAAAGGGAAAAAATAGAAAAAATCAACTTCTTGACCCCAAAGTTTAATATGGTAAGTTTTACCTGGTCATACATACTCTCATCAAGTTTTACTATGATACCTTGATTTGTCCTTAAGTTATCAAGTTCACATGAATAATTACGGACGGACGCACAGATGGACAGACGCATGGAAGTACAACCCGAAAACATAATGCCTCTGGTATTCACTACATGTGGCGAAGGCATAAGAGGCATTAAAATTTAAATGACTTTTGAGCAATGACAGTCTGATTTTTCAACTATTAAACGAATTGTTATTAAAAAGATAACAAACTATGCAATTGCGTAGCAACAAGTATAAATTATTTCATTTTCTTAAATAAATATATTTAATTGTCCAAACAATGGTGCTCCAATTTCATAATTAATTTTGTGTTTTTATCTTTTTATCTCAATTATAGAAATTATCATTCATATTAAAAGAGAGCAAATTATTAATAATATACAATGTTCTAGTTGTACTTCTACAATCATCTGAATGCCTTGAGGCCCATTTTCAAAATAGCATGAAAAAGAGGAATTTAATAAAAGACAAAATGAAGGATCCATCACATGGAACTTTCACACCGCATAACATAATCAATACGAATTGTATGACAGGGCCCAGATATATGGTATTTTAGGTTCCAACCATCCCAGTAGTAACTAAGTGCAAACCTTCCACCATATATTGTGGCTATTCACCTTAACAGGTATAATAAAACCGATTAAAATAAAGTCAAACTTACGGGATTGTCTTGAGTTTCTCTGTATCCTCATCTGTAAGTTCGAAACCCTTCAGGAAGCTGATGTTCTGATTGATAGAAAAAGATTCAGTGATAGAGAAGCGAGCCATGTTAGTTGAAATCAAACTTGATAACAATCCAAATATTTCTTCTGAGACAAACAACTTAAAGCTACTTGGAGAGGAAACTGAGAAAATTAATTTTTCTTAGAGCCAAGAATCAAAAGGAGGCAATGTTAGTTAATATGAATGAAAACAATATTTAAAAATACAATAAGTATGAATTATTCTGCTACCTTTCTTGGTATAATGATATGGATCATTGACAAAATACATCAAACCTTTTAAGACAATAGCCTTCTATAATACATTTGGCAATTCATTTTTCCCCCACAAAAATGATGAGAGGTCCATGCCACTGAAGTACAATAATATGCAATAACAAGTGCATTTCTTTATTAATACTAACATTAACATATTTCCCTCCATAAGTAGATCATGGGCCCTGGTTTATAATGAAAGATTGTCAGATAATTTCAAGACAGACTTGCGTGCTCTTTTACTCTGGCTCTTAATATTCAGGCAGGCAGCTGCCATTTTAGACACTGTAACATTTCTATAGAATTTGCAGCAAAGAAGAGTGAGAACGGAGGGCGTAGTCACATAGGAAATGGGTGAACAAGATTCTTTTCTCCTCAGGATCAATATTACAACCAAATGACAACATCCAAGGAAACTGACAGCTCTATAGCTCATTCTATATACCTCCCACACACCTTCAGGTATCGTATTCAAACTATGTAATGCCACTAGGAAAGAATCGATACATGACAATCAAAGTTTCCTCCATCGCTGATCGTACCACGATCATTACAGCAAGTAGATGCAATGTAATAATCTTGCTGAGAATAGATTTCTTTTTGTGATTTTGCTTGGAACACTGAATAATAAACTACAAACTGTCGCCAAGAAAATCAGCATTTTTTGTTCTGCTCTTGGCATAATAGAAGCAAAAGAAACATTGATTCCTTTGAGCAAATCAACAAAGGAAGCCAGAAACAAAAGCTCTTGTTTCCTAGCTAGCTTGGCAGACTCACTCCGGAGCCATGTGATTAATGTATTATACTTGACCGGTAGTGAAGGAAATATATCAAGATTAAGCCTTCTATCTCTGAGGGCTACAAATCAATCTGCATCTCTCTCTCCCTCGCATGTCAATGAGAAAATAAGCCTTGCCTTCCAGGATGCCTTCCTTCTTGGACCAAACCAGCACTGTGTTATGCTTTTCGCCTTTTTCGGTTTACATTTCCTGGCTTCCGCAGAGGATGTGCGGATCTTTTGGTTTGCTTGCTTGAAATTGTTTCTCCGTATGGCAAAGTGTAAAAATTGAGAAATAAATAATGACTCCATCACCACCTTTGGCAAGCAGAAATATAAAAGGTAGCCACAAAGAAGTGCTATAAAAGGCACGATTCATACTTCATATCAGAACTCTAGTCGAAGCTTTTTTTTGCTTGCTAAATGAGGAAGAAGAAAAATCACCTATATTATTTTCAGTTTCTAACATGCTTGGGTGCAATCTATCCAGTTGGTTGAACTAAAATTGATCATCATTTTAATTTATTCAATCAGTCAAGAAATATATTTTGTATTACATTAGGTAGTTCCCCTGATATTTGCAAGACTATTAAAAAATTGAAGAAAAAAAAACATGTACAACTCCTCCATATATACACACACATAGAAACAATGACTCTTCACATTGATTGTAGCTTGATAATTTACAATGATGATGTCACTAAATGACATATAAAGAGGTGAAGAACCCACATCTCACTTAAAGGCTTGTGGCCATGTGTTGAGTTCAAATAATTTGATCCACTTCTTCCACAAAATTTGCAAACATTGATAAATATGATAAAACATATTTAGTGTTGGCAGTGCAGAGATATATATGTACACCAAGATGATGATCAACTTAGGAAGCAAGAAACAGGGAACACAATGATTACTCATCAGGTATAACTGTGTAAATAAATATATGTTTTGCAAGGACAGAAATATTGTCACTTGTAAATATCAATTTTTCAAGAATTGTGAAATGTTTAATGTCCATCAAATTGAATCACTTATTAAAAGGAAATATGTATGAACAGACTAAATGCAAATGGCTAGGTCATGTTAAACATCCACAATTTTTTTTAGAGAAGTATAGCAATCAAATAAAATGAAAATCATATTCTCAGATGAGCCAATTGAATTGGCAGATGAAATCCAAGTACCAAGTATTAAACTTCAGGTTGTTTTCTAACCAAATCAAAGGGTTCTTGCTAATAATAGTCTATACAATTTATATACAAGTAAAAGCTTCCTCATAGCTCTATTATTGTTATAAAAGGGAAAAAATAACACATTTACAACCACAGACTGTAAACTTCACTGTCCTGAACATGCTATTAAAATTCAATCCATTTTTTCCACCATCCAAAGGCCTATGGGCACTAGCTTTCATTCACTTGGTAAATGTAGTCACACATCTCATCTGTCTAATGAAAATAAAGCTGGGGAAATTCAACAATGACAGCCATTAGGCAAATCCAATAAGCATGTAGAGGCATCACAGTTCCTCATCCTCAGCACATTTGGGAGACACAGGTGCAGGACTTGTGGCAAGGGCTCAATTGGATTTAAGAAGGTAAGCGAACGAAAAGAAAATGCCCTCAATCCTTTTAATCTCCTCTTCCCATCTTGGGTTACTGTTTGTGCAAAATCATTTCACTGGCAACCTGTTTTCGTACGGCAGGGATTTATTTGTGTAGAAACTACACCATCATTGAACTCGGAGTACAGCCACTGTTTTAATATCTTACTCTGATTTCATTGATATAATCCTGTGCATCAATAGGGTCGTATCTGATTGTTAGTTTCCTATTCTGTACTCTCTACTATTTTTATCTTGAAAAAAAAATCAATGCATTCTTTTCTCAAGGGTCAAATATCTGTTATGTGTTTATCAGGTGGGCTGTATATAGTACAGACCACCTTATAATTTCGTTAGAATTGCCTTTATTTATTATTAAATATTTTTCTTATTTCTAACCACTTTTTTGTGAACAAAATAACACGAAAATGGCTCAATCAAATGCCTTGAAATTTGGCACACATATGTATAGGCATATGTACGAAGCACAATAACGTTTTCAACATTGACCTTCACTGATGACGTCATCTAGGCGCCATTTTGTAAAATTTTACGAAAATCAACTCATGATCATATCTTCATAACCAAAAGCTATTTCTCATTCATATTTATCATGATCAAGGTCAATATCCGTTTGGTCAATTTCAGGTCAAATAACGCGCGCGTGCGCGTACGTCCGCGCGTCAATGCGCGCGCAAAATTTAAAAATGCTCAAAATCGTCTCAAAATCATTTTGCATACGTTTAAGGCCATTCTAAGCATTTTATAAAAAATCGCGCACAAGTGCATGCGCGCGCGTTTTCGCGCGTAAAACTATTACACAACATAGAATCGCCATTTTTTTTTCTTTCATAATATTTCACATATTTTTACAAACAAATTGATACCATGTTTGTCTCTTTATGACTATTAATAACGGAATGATCGACCGTTTAACAAAAATGTCCGTGCGCGCGAGCTCTTGTAATACATAGCATATATGGGCAAAAACACGCCTATACAAAATCCATTGTAGCTCTTTAGGATGCAAGGTGACCCCAATTTGTTTTCATATTTTAAAAGAGTATGATTCGGAAATATTGTTTCATGTCTCATTTGACCCTCAATTAACTCATGACGTCATCATAATGGCCTCCGAACTCAAAATTCCAATTTGCATATTATGACGTCAGCATATTTATGGAAAATTGATTGTATCTCTGTAAATATTGATCAATTTTCTTCCAAATTTTAATATGTTCTAGCTGAGACAAATTTCTACAAATGCAGTCAGTACTATTCTTCATTTTGACAAAGGTATCATGGCGTATTTTTGCGATTAAAGGAGGCATGTCAATTTTTCACATTTTGCGTGTATTCTCTATGGGACATGACCTTTTCTCAAAACTCGATTCTACATTCCCGTCTTTCGCGGGCAACATCTACGTCATTTTAGCTTCATTTACGCTGAACTTCGAGTATGATGTAGCTGAGACAATTAGCTATCTCAAATGTGCCCTTCATTTTGTCTAAAATGTTAGCTGGACCAGCCCACCTATACTTGTACCAAACAAGTATTACAAATCTAGTTTATATTCTATTTCTTCTTTAGCTTTTGAGAATACTGTTACTGCTAGTGGTAATGATACTTCTGCTGCTGTTACTGCTACTTTTACTGATACTGATACTACTACTACTACTACTACTACTACTACTACTACTAATCCTACTGTTACTACTACTACAACTATTTCTACTACTACTACTATTACTACTTGTAGAAATACTTTTAAAGAACTATTGATGCTACTGCTGCTGAAACATATTCTTCTAGTTCTCATATTACATGGGAAAATATGTGCAATTTTATCTTGAATATGAATATCGATAATTGGGGCAATAAAATTTCATTACAGTGAGAAGAAGACACATGATTGCCTTAAATCTTAGTAATTCAAAACTTTGATATTTGCTAGTTCAAATATTAAAATACCTTATCTTCTAAGTAAAACCAGCATTATTTCCATTTTTTACCTGTAAATGCACCAAGCACAAAGAATGGCATTTCCTAACGTTCCTACAAATGGTTTTATCAACGGTAACAAAAAATTATGTTATCCAAAAAGTTTAGGGGAAAAGGTTATGAAATTCCATCACTGCCAATGTGTCATTGCTGATATATCATTTTCAACAGCATAATTGTCCTCATTTCTCTCCCCTTTCCCCCAATGTACAATCATAAACTACTGAAAGAAGAACAATTGTCATGGAGTCACAATCAGTGGCTTCATCAGTAGACTTTAAATCAGTCAAATTAATGGTACATACAATGTATTCATGAATCTCAAATTAGTATGACAAAACAAAATTCACATCCTCAATAATAAAA